TGTGGAATACAATTTAAAAAAAATTATATTTATCAGCGGTGGTGTAAGATCCTTGCTTGCCTCTGTGGACCAGTTTTCAGATTATTCCACCTCAGCAGACCTCACCTCCCAGGCCCATCTTCTATTTATGTCTTCAGGTTTGGGTGAATGTCAGCTCATATGCTTTCTCATGCACACCTATGTGTTATTTTTAAAGACACCACATGCCAGAATCTGGCTACCCCTTGACTCTAAGATGTAACTCCTGAGATTCCCTGACTTAGTTACTAATGTGATTTCTGTCTTTGTTAAGATAGCTGGCTAATTGACCACCTTCACTCAACCAGTAGCTAGCTACTTAAATTTGCTTTGTGTTACTTCTATTGTACAATAGATCCCTGACTAGTGTTAATATCTTCCTTGTATGTGATAATGCTCTTAATGGTCTTTAAGGTTGTGGTTCCTTAGCTACTTCTGACTCTTAGCCTGTGGCCTCTTGTTACCCAAACCATGTTTTGGAAAAAACCACATTGCTTATGCTGTATGTGATAATCTAGCTAAAAAAAAAAATTATCTGTGGGTTTCTAAATACATGTCAAGCACATATAACCTAAGATTGCCATGGACAGTTTGAATCTCGGCTGGTTTAGCTGGGACCAGATGAGATTCAAACCATGTATGAGATTCAAACCATGTATCAATTTATCAACTTGGGTGCAACCAGCCTGTCAGATTTTACATGCGAATAATGCTAGCAGCTATAATCACTGTGTTTTCCTAGGAGGGACTGCTCCCCCTCCCCCTGCCCCCCTGCCTGGAGAACAAAATGGCTCTGTGGGAGAGATTCCCCCAACAACACTGACTGTGTTGATGGGGGATGTAACAAACTAGCTCATCAGAGTTGGACGCGGAATTCCCCCTTTTCTTTTCTTTTTATTGGGAGTATTCCTCAGCCTCCATTCCCTACCTCCTCCCTTCCTGAGAGGCAAACGTTATATCCTGACAGATGGGGGGGTCAACCCAAGTTAAGGCATCTTCAGTCCGGTGCCAGGAAGTCTGCAAAAGTGTAACCTTTCTCACCTAAAATCATGATAAGGCCAGCTCATCAGAGCATTGGGAAGCACTGATCCCAGACCTTGTGTAGGCTCACCCATCATAAAACAGATAAGGCAGCTTCTCCCCGGACTTGAAAGAAGTTGAAACCTCACAGAACCTAACAGTAAAGATGTCAGAATGAAATGAACATTCCTCAAGTCAGTTTTTTTTTTTCCCCTATGTTTCATGTCATGGATTATGAAAGATGTTGGTTCTAATTCTGAGTTCTCCTGACCCCTCCCAAAACAGCGTAATGGCCAGTATTCAGAGCCACCCCCCATTGCAGAGGGATTTTTAAAAAAGAGACAGGCTGGCAGGCCAGATAGAAGAAAAAGACATCTCCTAAGCCTAACATCGAACGAGGAGATCAAAGAACCTTCCTGCTCTGCACTTGGATCTACAAACCAAGGCATGCTGGCAAGTAACCTAACCCTTTAACTTCCTTCCTATTATCTCTTTGCTGTATCCTTATATACATATATATATAGATATATTTGTGACATCTCTTTGTAAATATTTTATTGCAACCTGTTTGACTTTTTTAGTAATAAATCTTTCTTTCTGAAAGTGTTAAACTGTTTTTAAGTGCTTACTTGCAATTCACGAATTCCTGCCTTTTGAAGAGACGCTACTGTGTTTGTTTAATCCTCTGCCCAATCGGCCTGCGGTGACTGTATTGGACAGGCGAATTTTCAACCATTATAGTGTATATTTGATAACGGGAGTTTCCCAGTCACCGACAAAAGTGGTGGTGGCAGTAGAGGGTTAATTGCATAATTAACCCGACCCAGTAACAAGCGCATTCAGGCTGCAGGCACCGATTGTAGCCCATTAGCTGGACAATCGCTGTGCAGGGTGCAGCTGGGTGGGGCCTTGTTATGCGCGTCACACCGCGGTTTTAGATCAGCCGATCCTTCGGTCACGAGTTGGTGAGAAGGTCTGGGGTCTAACGCCGCGGGCGTGACGGATTACTGTTGGTCGCGGTCGTGCGATTGTCGCATGTTGGTGGCAGCGACCGTGCGATTGTGACAGGGGAATCAAGTGATTTTCTTTCCTGCAGGTTGCAGGAAAGAAAATCTCTCCATCTATGGCTAGCTTTACCCATACAGTGTTTTTTTTATAGGTAAAGAGAGCTACAGCAGTGGTTGAGTCTGAACATTGACCTGATTAATTACAATGGGCTATACAATAGGTTATTTACTAGACCACTTTACCACTACAAGCTACAGTATGTCAAAAGGAAAAATGGGATTTGTTCACTTTAGATTTATGAACAAAGGAAAGCTGTACCTCTTGTCAGCACACAGTGATACTTTGTGGTTTGGGTGGAGGAACCCTGTCTCCAAAATGGGAGCCTACCTCCCTTCTGGCTGGAGTCCTGAATTATTTCCAAACCTGGCTACAGGTGTCTCTGAAAAGCTGGACACAGGATTGAAAGTTTCTTCCCACTCAAAACATTATAGAACCTTCAAACGTCAGGCCCCAATCAAGTGTTACAAAACCAGGAGAAAGCTCAGACAGCTTTCAAAATATACACACTGGAGCATCTCAAACCGTAACTTTGAGAGCCATGTGTCCTTTTTCCTACTATTTTGCAAGTGGCAGGGCCTCGCACCATCACAATATATAAATACAGTATCTCATGTGAGTACACTGCTCACATTTTTGTAAATATTTTATTCTCTTTTCATGTGACAACACTGAAGAAATGACACTTTGCTACAATGTAAAGTAGTGAGTGTACAGCTTGTATAACAGTGTAAATTTGCTGTCCCTTCAAAATAACTCAACACACAGCCATTAATGTCTAAACCACTGGCAACAAAAGTAAGTACACCCCTAAGTGAAAATGTCCAAATTGGGCCCAATTAGCCATTTCCCTCCCCAGTGTCATAGTGTTACAAGGTCTCAGGTATGAATGGGGAGCAGGTGTGTTTAAATTTGGTGTTATCGCTCTCACTCTCTCATACTGGTCACTGGAAGTTCAACTAGGTACCTCATGGAAAAAAACTTTCTGAGGATCTGAAAAAAAGAATTGTTGCTCTACATAAAGATGGCCTAGGCTATAAGAAGATTTTCAAGACCCTGAAACTGAGCTGCAGCACAGTGGCCAAGACCATACAGCGGTTTAACAGGACAGGTTCCACTCAGAACAGGCCTCGCCATGGTCAACCAAGGAGGTTGAGTGCATGTGCTCAGCGTCATATCCATAGGTTGTCTTTGGGAAATAGACGTATGAGTGCTGCCAGCATTTCTACAGAGGTTGAAGGGGTGGGGGGTCAGCCTGTCAATGCTCAGACCATACGCCGCACACTGCATGAAATTGGTGTGCATGGCTGTCATCCCAGAAGGAACCCTCTTCTAAACAGTTTGCTGAAGACAAGCAGACTAAGGACATGGATTACTGGGAACCATGGCCTGTGGTGTGATGATGAGACCAAGATAAACTTATTTGGTTTAGATGTATCAAGCATGTGTGGCAGCAACCAGGTGAGGAGTACAAAGACAAGTGTGTCTTGAGGTCAAGCATGGTGGTGGGAGTGTCATGGTCTGGGGCTTCATGAGTGCTGCTGGCACTGGGGGAGCTACAGTTCATTTAGGGAACCATGAATACCAACATGTACTGTGACATACTGAAGCAGAGCATGATGCCCTACCTTCGGAGAATGGGCTGCAGGGCAGTATTTCAACATGATAACGACCCCAAACACACCTCCAAGATGACCACTGCCTTGCTAAAGAAGCTAAGGGTAATGGTGATGGACTGGCCAAGCATATCTCCAGACCTAAATTGACCCAAATTGAGCATCTGTGGGGCATCCTCAAATGGAAGGTGAAGGAGCGCAAGGTATCTAGCATCCACCAGCTCTGTGATAACGTCATGGAGGAGTGGAAGAGGACTCCAGTGGCAACCTGTGAAGCTCTGGTAAACGCCATGCCCGAGAGGGTTAGGGCAGTGCTGGAAAATAATGGTGGCCACACAAAATATTGACATTTTGTACCCAATCTGGACATTTTCACTTAGGGGTGTACTGACTTTTGTTGCCAGCGGTTTAGACATTAATGGCTGTGTGTTGAGTAATTTTGAGGGGACAGCAAATTTACACTGTTATATAAGCTGTACACTCACTACTTTGCATTGTAGCAATGAGTCATTTCTTCAGTGTTGTCACATGAAAAGATATAATAAAATATTTAGAAAAATGTGAGGGGTGTGAGATACTTTATATGAGGGAATCTAGCTCAGTGGTAGTAGCATTTTCCAGTAATGATAGGCAGAACTGTGTTTCAGGGCTTTCAGCCCACTTTTACTTAAAAATAACATAAAGTTCCTTACATCAGAATACCAACACAGGGGGTTTCAGCTTTATACAGCATTAAAAGCAAAAACAACAAAAAAGAAAAAAACAATACCAAGACTCCTGGATCCTTATCTTTATGGCACCGCTGCTCAGGCCTTTTGCTTTGGTCCTTCAGACAGACCAACAGCACACCTCTGCTCACTTGGAACAGTTGTAGCTTTCTCTGCTCTCTTTATTTGCAGCCTCCTACTACATGTGCGCCTCTTTCAGCTCTCCCAGATCTCAGACCTTCTAAGTTCTCTAGACAAGGAACCTCCTGTCCAGCTTGGAGTACTGTCTCCTGAGTAGGGCACACCTACCACCTGATGGGAGCCCGGAGCTATGGCCAAAATAGTGATTATATAGTCTATGTGCACCTGTACACACACCCTGCTATAGTCTGGCAGACCTGGACATGAGGTTGGAGGCTTCTTCCCTCCTAACACTCCAGAACCCAAACCTGGAATTACAAAACATGGAGAAAGCTAAAAAAATGCCTTTCTCTGCTCAGCATGAACATTCCGAAGCCGAATTTAACTTAAAAAAGGGTGTATTCTAGGCTTCAGAGAGACTTAATATTAGTGCTCTGCTGGGGAAGAGAAATAATACTGTCAGTCAGTATGACATGCAGATGAGTGCCGTCGATCTTAGAATCACCGCACACTTCACTCATTTGGGCAGTCACGGGGCCAAAACCAGAGTGTGGAGCCACAGTGTGGCGGTGGAGGCAGCAGCAATGGGAGGCCATACAGCACCCTATGACAAAAATGGAAACCACCAGCAGTGTGAGGAGACCTGAAAGTGGCACATGGCAGAGTGTGGCGATAGAGACAGCAGCAAATGGAGGCCGTACAGGGACCCATGACACACTCTGGACCTGGCAGCAGCATGAGGAGGCGGTACAGGGGCCCATGACAGATTACGGGCCTGGCAGCAGCATGAGGAGTCGGTACAGGGGCCCATGGCAGATTACGGGCCTGGCAGCAGCAATGGGAGGCCGTACAGGGACCCATGACACACTCTGGACCTGGCAGCAGCAGATTACGGGCCTGGCAGCAGCATGAGGAGTCGGTACGGGGGCCCATGACACACTCTGGACCTGGCAGCAGCATGAGGAGGCGGTACAGGGGCGCATGACAGATTACGAGCCTGGCAGCAGCAACTTGGACAGGAGGACGTTCAGCTTCTGCACCGTCGGGTGCGTGCTCGCAAACTGTTGTCTCTTGGAAACGGATTCCAAGAAAGACTGCTGACGGAATCCGTGAAGAGGAGTAGCAGGAGAAGGAGCATCTGAACGAGCGGAATATGCCAACAAGCGACAACAGTGGCCCATGACAGATTACGGGCCTGGCAGCAGCATGAGGAGTCGGTACGGGGGCCCATGGCAGATTACGGGCCTGGCAGCAGCTATGGGAGGCCCGTAATCTGCCAGCACCCTATGACAAAAAATGGAACCCACCAGCAGTGTGAGGAGACCTGAAAGTGGCACATGGCAGAGTGTGGCGATGGAGACAGCAGCAATGGGAGGCCGTACAGGGACCCATGAGAGACTCTGGACCTGGCAGCAGCATGAGGAGGCGGTATAGGGGCCCATGGCAGATTAGGGGCCTGGCAGCAGCTATGGGGAGGCCCGTAATCTGCCAGCACCCTATGACAAAAAATGGAACACACCAGCAGTGTGAGGAGACCTGAAAGTGGCACATGGCAGAGTGTGGCGATGGAGGCAGCAGCAATGGGAGGCCGTACAGGGACCCATGAGAGACTCTGGACTTGGCAGCAGCATGAGGAGGCGGTATAGGGGCCCATGGCAGATTAGGGGCCTGGCAGCAGCTATGGGAGGCCCGTAAATCTGCCAGCACCCTATGACAAAAAATGGAACACACCAGCAGTGTGAGGAGACCTGAAAGTGGCACATGTTTGGGGCATGATTCATGGCGGATTTAGTCAGTTGTGTCAGGAACTGGTGGTTTGAAATCCAGACTAATCCACGCCTGATTCATTTTCACAAACGTGAGTCTCTCCACACTTTGGGTGGACAGTCGTGTCCTCCGCGGAGTTGCAATACCTCCTGCCGCACTAAACACGCGCGCCACGCTACTCCGATGCCACGCTACTGGCCGGGCATGACAGCCTTTCAAGGGCAAATTCAGCTAGTTGGGGCCAAAGGTCAAGTTTCGTTGCCCAGTAGTCAAGGGGATTGTCTACCTCGGTTGGCAGGGTGCTGTCCAAGTAGGCCTAAGCCTGTTGTTTGAGGTCCTGCTCCAGGTCCACCTGATGCTGCTGCTGCTGCTGCTGCGGCTGGTTAGTAGTTTCCTCACTGCGCTGGTGAAGAAAGCTACTCATCATCGACTGCAGACTGAGAGCAGCCGCTGCTGGTGGAGCTGCCACTGCTCCTACCACCCCACCCCCTCCCCCCCTGCTGCCATGGCAGCGGAACACGAGCGCACAGGGCCCACAGTGTCTGAGGATGGACGTTGGCGCAGACAGGCAGAGACCAGCTGACTACATAGGTGTTTTTTATAGTACGTTATTTTGGCCTCCCTCTCAGCAGGTGTGAAAAAGGCCACCATTTTTGAACGGTAGCGAGGGTCCAACAAGGTGGACAGCCAAAAGTCATCCCTCTGTCTGATGGTTATTATTCGGCTGTCGCTACGCAAGCAAGCAACCGAGCATGCTATGGGCCATTTGTGCCAAGGAATGCGAGGGACTCCCTGCCTCCATCTCCACAGCATACTGCCACGGTGCGTCTAGGTCCTCTGTCTCCTCTTCCTCCTCCTCTACCAGATGCTCCTGCTCCTCCACTCCTGTCCGCTGAGTGGAAAAACCACCCATTTCACTCAATAATTCCTGAGCACCAATGTCCTCCTCTACCTCCTCCTCTTCTTCCAGTCCTGCCCCCACAGGGGCCATGTGGCGTTGAGATCTGTGCGCCACGTCTACCGCACCCTGACCAGCCATTGTTATTAACAGCATTTGTTCCAGGACGTGCAACAGAGGAATGACGTCGTTCATCCCATAGTCCTGCCGACTCACGAATAGCGTGGCCTCCTCAAAGGGCCTGAGCAAGCGCAGGTGTCACGCATGAGCTGCCAATGGCTGACATCTAAGTTACACAGGGAGTACCTTTATCTGCTTTTAACATCAGGAAATCTGTGATGGCCTTTTGCTGTTCGTAAAGGCGGTCTAACATATGTAGGGTTGAATTCCACCTTGTTGCAACGTCACAGCATGAGGAGTCGGTATAGGGGCCCATGGCAGATTAGGGGCCTGGCAGCAGTTATGGGAGGCCCATAATCTGCCAGCACCCTATGACAAAAAATGGAACACACCAGCAGTGTGAGGAGACCTGAAAGTGGCACATGGCAGAGTGTGGCGATGGAGACAGCAGCAATGGGAGGCCGTACAGGGACCCATGAGAGACTCTGGACCTGGCAGCAGCATGAGGAGGAGCGCGTATATAGGGGCCTACGGCAGATTAGGGGCCTGGCAGCAGCTATAGGAGGCCCGTAATCTGCCAGCACCCTATGTCAAAAAATTCAACACACCAGCAGTGTGTGAGGAGACCTGAAAGTGGCACATGGCAGAGTGTGGCGATGGAGACAGCAGCAATGGGAGGCCGTACAGGGACCCATGACAGACTCTGGACTTGGCAGCAGCATGAGGAGGCGGTATATAGGGGCTTATGGCAGATTAGGGGCCTGGCAGCAGCAGCTATAGGAGGCCCGTAATCTGCCAGCACCCTATGTCAAAAAATTCAACACACCAGCAGTGTGAGGAGACCTGAAAGTGGCACATGGCAGAGTGTGGCGATGGAGACAGCAGCAATGGGAGGCCGTACAGGGACCCATGACAGACTCTGAACTTGGCAGCAGCATGAGGAGGGCGGTATATAGGGGGCCCATGGCAGATTAGGGGCCCTGGCAGCAGCTATAGGAGGCCCGTAATCTGCTGCACCCTATGTCAAAAAATTTAACACACCAGCAGTGTGTGAGGAGACCTGAAAGTGGCACATGGCAGAGTGTGGCGATGGAGACAGCAGCAATGGGAGGCCGTACAGGGACCCATGACAGACTCTGGACTTGGCAGCAGCATGAGGAGGCGGTATATAGGGGCCCATGGCAGATTAGGGGCCTGGCAGCAGCTATGGGAGGCCCGTAATCTGCCAGCACCCTATGTCAAAAAATTTAACACACCAGCAGTGTGAAGAGACCTGAAAGTGGCACATGGCAGAGTGTGGGCGATGGAGACAGCAGCAATGGGAGGCCGTACAGGGACCCATGACAGACTCTGGACTTGGCAGCAGCATGAGGAGGCGGTATATAGGGGCCCATGGCAGATTAGGGGCCTGGCAGCAGCTATGGAGGCCCGTAATCTGCCAGCACCCTATGTCAAAAAATTTAACACACCAGCAGTGTGTGAGAGAGACCTGAAAGTGGCCACATGGCAGAGTGTGGCGATGGAGACAGCAGCAATGGGAGGCCGTACAGGGACCCATGACAGACTCTGGACTTGGCAGCAGCATGAGGAGGCGGTATATAGGGGCCCATGGCAGATTAGGGGCCTGGCAGCAGCTATGTGAGGCCCGTAATCTGCCTGCACCCTATGTCAAAAAATTTAAACACACCAGCAGTGTGAAGAGACCTGAAAGTGGCACATGGCAGCAGAGTGTGGCGATGGAGACAGCAGCAATGGGAGGCCGTACAGGGACCCATGAGAGACTCTGGACTTGGCAGCAGCATGAGGAGGCGGTATATAGGGGCCCATGGCAGATTAGGGGCCTGGCAGCAGCTATGTGAGGCCCGTAATCTGCCTGCACCCTATGTCAAAAAATTAAACACACCAGCAGTGTGTGAAGAGACCTGAAAGTGGCACATGGCAGCAGAGTGTGGCGATGGAGACAGCAGCAATGGGAGGCCGTACAGGGACCCATGAGAGACTCTGGACTTGGCAGCAGCATGAGGAGGCGGTATATAGGGGCCCATGGCAGATTAGGGGCCTGGCAGCAGCTATGTGAGGCCCGTAATCTGCCTGCACCCTATGTCAAAAAATTTAAACACACCAGCAGTGTGAAGAGACCTGAAAGTGGCACATGGCAGCAGAGTGTGGCGATGGAGACAGCAGCAATGGGAGGCCGTACAGGGACCCATGACAGACTCTGGACTTGGCAGCAGCATGAGGAGGCGGTATATAGGGGCCCATGGCAGATTAGGGGCCTGGCAGCAGCTATGTGAGGCCCGTAATCTGCCTGCACCCTATGTCAAAAAAAAATAACACACCAGCAGTGTGAAGAGACCTGAAAGTGGCACATGGCAGCAGAGTGTGGCGATGGAGACAGCAGCAATGGGAGGCCGTACAGGGACCCATGACAGACTCTGGACTTGGCAGCAGCATGAGGAGGCGGTATATAGGGGCCCATGGCAGATGGCAGTTAGGGGCCTGGCAGCAGCTATGTGGCCCGTAATCTGCCTGCACCCTATGTCAAAAAATTTAACACACCAGCAGTGTGAAGAGACCTGAAAGTGGCACATGGCAGCAGAGTGTGGCGATGGAGACAGCAGCAATGGGAGGCCGTACAGGGACCCATGACAGACTCTGGACTTGGCAGCAGCATGAGGAGGCGGTATATAGGGGCCCATGGCAGATTAGGGGCCTGGCAGCAGCTATGTGAGGCCCGTAATCTGCCTGCACCCTATGTCAAAAAATTTAACACACCAGCAGTGTGAAGAGACCTGAAAGTGGCACATGGCAGCAGAGTGTGGCGATGGAGACAGCAGCAATGGGAGGCCGTACAGGGACCCATGACAGACTCTGGACTTGGCAGCAGCATGAGGAGGCGGTATATAGGGGCCCATGGCAGATTAGGGGCCTGGCAGCAGCTATGTGAGGCCCGTATCTGCCTGCACCCTATGTCAAAATAAACACACCAGCAGTGTGAAGAGACCTGAAAGTGGCACACATGGCAGCAGAGTGTGGCGATGGAGACAGCAGCAATGGGAGGCCGTACAGGGACCCATGACAGACTCTGGACTTGGCAGCAGCATGAGGAGGCGGTATATAGGGGCCCATGGCAGATTAGGGGCCTGGCAGCAGCTATGTGAGGCCCGTAATCTGCCTGCACCCTATGTCAAAAAATTTAACACACCACCAGCAGTGTGAAGAGACCTGAAAGTGGCACATGGCAGCAGAGTGTGGCGATGGAGACAGCAGCAATGGGAGGCCGTACAGGGACCCATGACAGAGACTCTGGACTTGGCAGCAGCATGAGGAGGAGGCGGTATATAGGGGCCCATGGCAGATTAGGGGCCTGGCAGCAGCTATGTGAGGCCCGTAATCTGCCTGCACCCTATGTCAAAAAATTTAAACACACCAGCAGTGTGAAGAGACCTGAAAGTGGCACATGGCAGCAGAGTGTGGCGGAGCAGCAGCAATGGGAGGCCGTACAGGGACCCATGACAGACTCTGGACTTGGCAGCAGCATGAGGAGGCGGTATATAGGGGCCCATGGCAGATTAGGGGCCTGGCAGCAGCTATGTGAGGCCCGTAATCTGCCTGCACCCTATGTCAAAAAATTTAACACACCAGCAGTGTGAAGAGACCTGAAAGTGGCACATGGCAGCAGAGTGTGGCGATGGAGACAGCAGCAATGGGAGGCCGTACAGGGACCCATGACAGACTCTGGACTTGGCAGCAGCATGAGGAGGCGGTATATAGGGGCCCATGGCAGATTAGGGGCCTGGCAGCAGCTATGTGAGGCCCGTAATCTGCCTGCACCCTATGTCAAAAAATTTAACACACCAGCAGTGTGAAGAGACCTGAAAGTGGCACATGGCAGCAGAGTGTGTGGCGATGGACAGCAGCAATGGGAGGGCCGTACAGGGGACCCATGACAGACTCTGGACTTGGCAGCAGCATGAGGAGGCGGTATATAGGGGCCCATGGCAGATTAGGGGCCTGGCAGCAGCTATGTGAGGCCCGTAATCTGCAGCACCCTATGTCAAAAAATTTAACACACCAGCAGTGTGAAGAGACCTGAAAGTGGCACATGGCAGCAGAGTGTGGCGATGGAGACAGCAGCAATGGGAGGCCGTACAGGGACCCATGAGAGACTCTGGACTTGGCAGCAGCAGCATGAGGAGGCGCGGTATATAGGGGCCCATGGCAGATTAGGGGCCCTGGCAGCAGCTATGTGAGGCCCGTAATCTGCCTGCACCCTATGTCAAAAAATTTAACACACCAGCAGTGTGAAGAGACCTGAAAGTGGCACATGGCAGCAGAGTGTGGCGATGGAGACAGCAGCAATGGGAGGCCGTACAGGGACCCATGACAGACTCTGGACTGGACTTGGCAGCAGCATGAGGAGGCGGTATATAGGGGCCCATGGCAGATTAGGGGCCTGGCAGCAGCTATGTGAGGCCCGTAATCTGCCTGCACCCTATGTCAAAAAATTTAACACACCAGCTGTGAAGAGACCTGAAAGTGGCACATGGCAGCAGAGTGTGGCGATGGAGACAGCAGCAATGGGAGGCCGTACAGGGACCCATGAGAGACTCTGGACTTGGCAGCAGCATGAGGAGGCGGTATATAGGGGCCCATGGCAGATTAGGGGCCTGGCAGCAGCTATGTGAGGCCCGTAATCTGCCTGCACCCTATGTCAAAAAATTTAAACACACCAGCAGTGTGAAGAGACCTGAAAGTGGCACATGGCAGCAGGCAGCAGTGTGGCGATGGAGACAGCAGCAATGGGAGGCCGTACAGGGACCCATGACAGACTCTGGACTTGGCAGCAGCATGAGGAGGCGGTATATAGGGGCCCATGGCAGATTAGGGGCCTGGCAGCAGCTATGTGAGGCCCGTAATCTGCCTGCACCCTATGTCAAAAAAAATTTAACACACCAGCAGTGTGAAGAGACCTGAAAGTGGCACATGGCAGCAGAGTGTGGCGTGGAGACAGCAGCAATGGGAGGCCGTACAGGGACCCATGACAGACTCTGGACTTGGCAGCAGCATGAGGAGGCGGTATATAGGGGCCCATGGCAGATTAGGGGCCTGGCAGCAGCTATGTGAGGCCCGTAATCTGCCTGCACCCTATGTCAAAAAATTTAACACACCAGCAGTGTGAAGAGACCTGAAAGTGGCACATGGCAGCAGAGTGTGGCGATGGAGACAGCAGCAATGGGAGGCCGTACAGGGACCCATGACAGACTCTGGACTTGGCAGCAGCATGAGGAGGCGGTATATAGGGGCCCATGGCAGATTAGGGGCCTGGCAGCAGCTATGTATGTGAGGCCCGTAATCTGCCTGCACCCTATGTCAAAAAATTTAACACACCAGCAGTGTGAAGAGACCTGAAAGTGGCACATGGCAGAGTGTGGCGATGGAGACAGCAGCAATGGGAGGCCGTACAGGGACCCATGAGAGACTCTGGACTTGGCAGCAGCAGGAGGCGGTAGGCGGTATAGGGGGGCCCCATGGCAGATTAGGGGCCTGGCAGCAGCTATGTGAGGCCCGTAATCTGCCTGCACCCTATGTCAAAAAATTTAACACACCAGCAGTGTGAAGAGACCTGAAAGTGGCACATGGCAGCAGAGTGTGGCGATGGAGACAGCAGCAATGGGAGGCCGTACAGGGACCCATGACAGACTCTGGACTTGGCAGCAGCATGAGGAGGCGGTATATAGGGGCCCATGGCAGATTAGGGGCCTGGCAGCAGCTATGTGAGGCCCGTAATCTGCCTGCACCCTATGTCAAAAAATTTAACACACCAGCAGTGTGAAGAGACCTGAAAGTGGCACATGGCAGCAGAGTGTGGCGATGGAGACAGCAGCAATGGGAGGCCGTACAGGGACCCATGACAGACTCTGGACTTGGCAGCAGCATGAGGAGGCGGTATATAGGGGCCCATGGCAGATTAGGGGCCTGGCAGCAGCTATGTGAGGCCCGTAATCTGCCTGCACCCTATGTCAAAAAAAAATTTAACACACCAGCAGTGTGAAGAGACCTGAAAGTGGCACATGGCAGCAGAGTGTGGCGATGGAGACAGCAGCAATGGGAGGCCGTACAGGGACCCATGAGAGACTCTGGACTTGGCAGCAGCATGAGGAGGCGGTATATAGGGGCCCATGGCAGATTAGGGGCCTGGCAGCAGCTATGTGAGGCCCGTAATCTGCCTGCACCCTATGTCAAAAAATTTAACACACCAGCAGTGTGAAGAGACCTGAAAGTGGCACATGGCAGCAGAGTGTGGCGATGGAGACAGCAGCAATGGGAGGCCCGTACAGGGACCCATGAGAGACTCTGGACTTGGCAGCAGCATGAGAGGGCGGTATATAGGGGCCCATGGCAGATTAGGGGCCTGGCAGCAGCTATGTGAGGCCCGTAATCTGCCTGCACCCTATGTCAAAAAATTTAACACACCAGCAGTGTGAAGAGACCTGAAAGTGGCACATGGCAGCAGAGTGTGGCGATGGCGATGGAGACAGCAGCAATGGAGGCCGTACAGGGACCCATGAGAGACTCTGGACTTGGCAGCAGCATGAGGAGGAGGCGGTATATAGGGGCCCATGGCAGATTAGGGGCCTGGCAGCAGCTATGTGAGGCCCGTAATCTGCCTGCACCCTATGTCAAAAAATTTAACACACACCAGCAGTGTGAAGAGACCTGAAAGTGGCACATGGCAGCAGAGTGTGGCGATGGAGACAGCAGCAATGGGAGGCCGTACAGGGACCCATGAGAGACTCTGGACTTGGCAGCAGCATGAGGGCGGTATATAGGGGCCCATGGCAGATTAGGGGCCTGGCAGCAGCTATGTGAGGCCCGTAATCTGCCAGCACCCTATGTCAAAAAATTTAACACACCAGCAGTGTGAAGAGACCTGAAGTGGCACATGGCAGCAGTGAAAGTGGCGATGGAGACAGCAGCAATGGGAGGCCCGTACAGGGACCCATGAGAGACTCTGGACTTGGCAGCAGCAGGAGGAGGCGGTATATAGGGGCCCATGGCAGATTAGGGGCCTGGCAGCAGCTATGTGAGGCCCGTTATCTGCCTGCACCCTATGTCAAAAAATTTAACACACCAGCAGTGTGAAGAGACCTGAAAGTGGCACATGGCAGCAGAGTGTGGCGATGGAGACAGCAGCAATGGGAGGCCGTACAGGGACCCATGAGAGACTCTGGACCTGGCAGCAGCAGCAGAGGAGGTGGTATATAGGGGCCCATGGCAGATTAGGGGCCTGGCAGCAGCTATGTGAGGCCCGTAATCTGCCTGCACCCTATGTCAAAAAATTTAACACACCAGCAGTGTGAAGAGACCTGAAAGTGGCACATGGCAGCAGAGTGTGGCGATGGAGACAGCAGCAATGGGAGGCCGTACAGGGACCCATGAGAGAGACTCTGGACCTGGCAGCAGCAGGAGGAGGCGGTATATAGGGGCCTATGGCAGATTAGGGGCCTGGCAGCAGCTATAGGAGGCCCGTAATCTGCCAGCACCCTATGTCAAAAAATTCAACACACCAGCAGTGTGAGGAGACCTGAAAGTGCACATGTTTGAGGCATGATTCATGGCGGATTTAGTCAGTTGTGTCAGGAACTGGTGGTTTGAAATCCAGACTAATCCACGCCTGATTCATTTTCACAAACGTGAGTCTCTCCACACTTTGGGTGGACAGTCGTGTCCTCCGCGGAGTTACAATACCTCCTGCCGCACTAAACACGCGCTCCGATGCCACGCTACTGGCCGGGCATGACAGCCTTTCAAGGGCAAATTCAGCTAGTTGGGGCCAAAGGTCAAGTTTCGTTGCCCAGTAGTCAAGGGGATTGTCTACCTCGGTTGGCAGGGTGCTGTCCAAGTAGGCCCAAGCCTGTTGTTTGAGCTCCTGCTCCAGGTCCACCTGATGCTGCTGCTGCTGCTGCGGCTGGTTAGTAGTTTTTCCTCACTGCGCTGGTGAAGAAAGCTACTCATCATCATCTGCAGACTGAGGCAGCCGCTGCTGGTGGAGCTGCCGACTGCTCCTACCACCCCCCCACCCCTCCCCTGCTGCCATGCCAGCGGAACGCGAGCGCACAGGGCCCACAGTGTCTGAGGATGGACGTTGGCGCACAAAGGCAGAGACCAACTGACTACATAGGTGGTTTTTATAGTACGTAATTTTGGCCTCCCTCTCAGCAGGTGTGAAAAAGGCCACCATTTTGGACCGGTAGCGAGGGTCCAACAAGGTGGACAGCCAAAAGTCATCCCTCTGTGTCTGATGGTTATTATTCGGCTGCTACGCAAGCAACCGAGCATGCTATGGGCCATTTGTGCCAAGGAATGCGAGGGACTCCCTGCCTCCATCTCCACAGCATACTGCCACGGTGCGTCTGGGTCCTCTGTCTCCTCCTCCTCCTCCTCTACCAGATGCTCCTGCTCCTCCACTCCTGTCCGCTGAGTGGAAAAACCACCCATTTCACTCAATAATTCCTGAGCACAAATGTCCTCCTCTACCTCCTCCTCTTCTTCCTGTCCTGCCCCCACAGGGGTCATGTGGCGTTGAGATCTGTGCGCCACGTCTACCGCACCCTGACCAGCCATTGTTAACAGCATTTGTTCCAGGACGTGCAACAGAGGAATGACGTCGTTCATCCCATAGTCCTGCCGACTCACGAATAGCGTGGCCTCCTCAAAGGGCCTGAGCAAGCGGCAGGTGTCACGCATGAGCTGCCAATGGCTGACATCTAAGTTACACAGGGGAGTACCTTTATCCGCTTGTAACATCAGGAAATCGGTGATGGCCTTTCGCTGCTCGTAAAGGCGGTCTAACATGTGTAGGGTTGAATTCCACCTTGTTGCAACGTCGCAGATCAGGCGATGCTGTGGAATTCCGTTCTGCCGCTGCAGCTCAATGAGGGTGTTCTTTGCGGTGTAGGAATGGCTGAAATGCATGCACAGTTTACGTGACATTTTAAGGATGTCTTGCAGTGGGATGGTGGATTTTTAGGAACCGCTTGACAACCAGATTGAACACGTGAGCCATGCATGGCGCATGGCACAACCTTCCTTGACGCAGAGCAGACACCATGTTCTTTCCGTTGTCAGTCAACATGGTTCCGATTTTTAGTTTGCGCGGAGACAGCCATCTGTCGATTTCTCTGTTCATTACACTCAGCAGTTCCTCCCCTGTGTGACTACGTTCGCCCAAGGCATACCAGGTGCAGCACAGCGTGACACCGTTGCGCCCTGCACATGTGATATGCCGGTCGGGTAATGGGACTTGGCACGGGGGTGGCGGCTGAGGACACGGCGGCGGCGGAAAAAGAGGTGGTAGAGGCGGACATGCTTGCTGGACCAAGGACGTGCAAACGTGGAGGCAAAAGCGTCGTGACCTGTCCAAGTTGCTGGTGCGGCTGTGCCGGCACCACGTTCACCCCAGTGGGCCGTAAATGACATGTACTGTCCCTGACCGTAGTTACAGCTCCACACGTCGGCGCTGCCGTGCACTTTGGCAGAGACCGACATGCTCAAAGACTGGCCCACCATCTCTTCTACATGTGAATGCAGGGCTGGCACTGCCTTTTGGGGCAAAGAAGAAATGACGGCTTGGCACTCTCCACCGCGGCGCGGCACAAGCCATCATTTCTCGGAAAGGTGCTGAGTCCACCAGTTGGAAAAGGGAGGGACTGCAGCACCAGCAACTTGGACAGGAGGACGTTCAGCTTTTGCACCGTCGGGTGCGTGCTCGCAAACTGTTGTCTCTTGGATACGGATTCCAAGAAAGACTGTTGACGGAATCCGAGAAGAGGAGTAGCAGGAGAAGGAGCATCTGAACGAGCGGAAGATGCCAATGAGCGACAACTCCCCTCAGCAGAGGTGTTGGAGCCTTGACTGGCTGATAGAGGGGCGATTGACGACGTCGGGTGACGGAGCAAGTAACGGAGCGGGTGATGGAGCGGGGGCTGGGGCAGGCAGAACCGCCGTATGTTTATCACGGGTTTTCCCAGGCCACCGAATGGTGACGCTGCATATGCTGACGCAACGCTGTAGTCCCAACATGGGCCCCCTGGCCACGCTTGCATTTCTGGCCACATAGTCGACATACGGCTACGTTTACTTCCTCGGGCGGCTTGAGGAAAAAAAAATTGCCACACCACCGAGTAGGAAACTTTGCCCCCCGCTACTCTTCACTGGCTGACTGCTACTACTTCCTCCGTGCGCACCGGCACCACTACTGGCCGTGGTGGTAGGCTGCAGTGGAGCTGGTGCTCTACTCTCCGTGGACGTTTGGCTCCACTGACACTGATGCGACCCTGCTGCTGTCTCCTGGGCAACCCACCGACTGTTTTGCTCGCTGCCAAGCTGCCACCCTCTTCTCCTGATGATGCGGAAGAAATTGCCTGATGACGACGAGGCTGCCAAGTGCGATCAACCTCCTCATCATCAAGTAGGGTCTCCGCCTCACTACTAGCCCCCTCGGCTGCGTCTGGGTCAGGAGACAGACCTGTCTCTAGACCGGCTACCGAGCCACTCTCCTCGCCAGTACTTGTTCGCTTGGCTGCTGAAAAGGCCGATGTCTCCCCCCGTTCCTGACCGCCCTCTGTTAGCTCTTCCTCACTGTACAGTGGGGCTGAGCCCACAGCATGCGATACTTCGCTTGGTGAGGGAACAGCAAAGGACAGGGGCAGGTAGAGGACACGTGATTTCAGTGGGCTTGGTCCCGGGCCATGCCAACTAACGGTTGTGTCTGACGTACCCACCGACCGTTGGCTGTAGGTGTCAGAGGTGACCTGGGAAGAGGAAGACGACCGAGCCAACCAATCAATGACGGCAGGGTTGTCGGTGGAGACACGACCGCTGGATGACACCGGGAGCACTGGCCTCTGGCTGCGAATACTGCTGCTGCCGACCCCTTCCTCTGCTGCCACGTCTGCTCGCTCCTAAAACATTGCCTCCTCTGCCACTCCTCTGCATGTTGTCTGACATACTATTTAATTCAACGATTAGGTGTCCCTGAGTAACAATTCTCTGGCACTCAGTAACAATTCTGTCTGTCCCTGAGTATGAATTCTGTGGCCCTGAGTAACAATTCTGTGTCTCTGTGCGAGTAACAATTCTGTGTCTGTGCGAGTAACAATTCTGTGTCTGTGCAAGTAACAATTTTGTGTCTGTGCGAGTAACAATTCTCTGGCACTCAGTAACAATTCTGTCTGTCCCTGAGTAACAATTCTCTGGCACTCAGTAACAATTCTGTCTGTCCCTGAGTAACAATTCTCTGGCACTCAGTAACAATTCTGTCTGTCCCTGAGTAAACAATTCTCTGGCACTCAGTAACAATTCTGTCTGTCTGTCTGCCTGAGTAACAATTCTCTGGTCTGTGCAGTAAACAATTCTGTGGCACTGTTCTGTCTGTCCCTGAGTAACAATTCTCTGGCACTCAGTAACAATTCTGTCTGTCCCTGAGTAACAATTCTCTGGCACTCAGTAACAATTCTGTCTGTCCCTGAGTATGAATTCTGTGGCCCTGAGTAACAATTCTGTGTCTGTCCCTGAGTAACAATTCTGTGTCTGTGCACTCAGTAACAATTCTGTCTGTCCCTGTGCGAGTAACAATTCTCTGGCACTCAGTAACAATTCTGTCTGTCCCTGAGTAACAATTCTGTGGCCCTGAGTAACAATTCTGTCTCTGTGCGAGTAACAATTCTGTGTCTGTGCAAGTAACAATTTTGTGTCTGTGCCTGAGTAACAATTCTCTGGCACTCAGTAACAATTCTGTCTGTCCCTGAGTAACAATTCTCTGGCACTCAGTAACAATTCTGTCTGTAACAATTCTCTGGCACTCAGTAACAATTCTGTCTGTCCCTGAGTAACAATTCTGTGGCCCTGAGTAACAATTCTGTGTCTGTGCAAGTAACAATTCTGTGTCTGTGCAAGTAAACAATTTTGTGTCTTGAGAGTAACAATTCTCTGGCACTCAGTAACAATTCTGTCTGTCCCTGAGTAACAATTCTCTGGCACTCAGTAACAATAACAATTCTGTCTGTCCCTGAGTAACAATTCTTCTGTCTGGCACTCAGTAACAATTCTGTCTGTCCCTGAGTATGAATTCTGTGGCCCTGAGTAACAATTCTGTCTCTGTGCGAGTAACAATTCTGTGTCTGTGCAAGTAACAATTTTGTGTCTGTGCGAGTAACAATTCTCTGGCACTCAGTAACAATTCTGTCTGTCCCTGAGTAACAATTCTGGCACTCAGTAACAATTCTGTCTGTCCCTGAGTAACAATTCTCTGGCACTCAGTAACAATTCTGTCTGTCCCTGAGTAATTCTGAATTCTGTGGCCCTGAGTAACAATTCTGTGTCTGTGCGAGTAACAATTCTGTGTGCAAGTAACAATTTGTGTGTGTCTGTGCGAGTAACAATTCTCTGGCACTCAGTAACAATTCTGTCTGTCCCTGAGTAAACAATTCTCTGGCACTCAGTAACAATTCTGTCTGTCCCTGAGTAACAATTCTCTGGCACTCAGTAACAATTCTGTCTGTCCCTGAGTAACAATTCTCTGGC